GGTAAAATATTTAATATATGGTATTTCAAGAGTTGGAAAATCATAAGAAATATATCATATATAAAATTTCAAGATTATCCCAAAGTTGTGGGGGGATATTGTCCATAGATAAAATTTGCTATGAGTTACCTCACCAAATAAGAAATACTTATAAATGTAGGGTTCTTAATCCTAAGAAATTTTGGATAGAACCAAAAATTATTTATAATATTATAACAATAGTGCATGTTGTTTCCTATGAGGAAAATATTATGGAACAACTAGAAAAGTTCTTTTTCCAGCGGAAGAGCCGAGTTATTTGTTCCAGTTGAAAAGTCAAGTGTGCAAGCTTATAAGTCCTTGAATGGATTAAAGCTACTACCGAGACAATGACATAAATGTAATGCGTAAGTCATTGTATGCCTTAAAATATAAATGATATACTGATTAGTATATTTGATATGAAAGATTTAACATCTGATAATATAGTATATTCTCAATAGAGTGAGATTGAGATAATACTAGTTATGATAACAAAAGCCTAGCTAACTTTTGTAGATGTAAATCTCAAATATAAATACTAGCCAAAGTATATCATTGGTTGAGATTGCAAGGCAACTTAATAACTGTGTTTAATTGCACATTTTCAATCCAGGATCGGATCACTGAAAAACAATAAATTGGGTAGTTGAGATACACCCTAAATCCAATATTGCATAGATCGAGGTATCTAACTAAATTGGAGGTGTAACAGTGATGCAATCTGGATATGGGATATTAAAGACTTCAAATCCAATAGTGGATATGCCTTTTATATTAAAGGTGTAGTTCTATGTTCTTAATATAATTCAAAGTTAAAAACTTTGAATAAATCAAATAGGGAAGTCAATAGACTTCACCTAGAGGACAATTCAAAGTAAGTCTACACCTATGCCACCAAAGAAAATGATATTGCTAACAATAAGCAATTTTAGGGCACAAAGTATACAGTTGCTCTCACCTGAAGAAATCTCTGCAGAGTGTAATATTTCTAAACACAACCTTGTGGCCACATATAAAATTAAAGGTTGTATTAGAGAGCAATTGTACAGTTCATCGAGGGGAATGGGGTTTAAAGCCGAAAGCTAACGAGTCACCTTAATGGAAACCCAACCTAGTTGACTGGAGATCCCAAGATCTAGGTTCAAAGGGACAACAGAAATTCTGAGTGACTCACTAGAAGCACTGGGAAGATATAAATCTTCTACCCATTTCTATGATGAGACAGTGCCACCTACAACGATGATTAGGATAAACTATGCTTTTAATGACTCTTATACCTTGAAATTTCAAGTGGGGTATGGTAGGATACTCTTAATAAGAAATCACCTATATGAGTGTGAAGTGGGGCCGCTTCTATGAGAACTATAAAGGCTAAGTTTTCTGGAGCACTCATTGAATACCAGGACTTGTTCAAGGCCAAAATGAACACAACAATGAGAACCAACTTTGTGAGGAAAGCTACTGTATGTTTGTTATTGTCTTGGTTTACACAAACGGCTGAACAGTTCAAGACATCGTGTTCACTGGTTAGCCAGTAAATCCGATAGCAATACACTAGGGAAGGTTCAAAGCCAAAAGTTACCTATCATGATGCAGTATCTTTCCGATTATACTCTCTCTAGTGTCTGCATGATCATCTTTTGCATTTTACGCAAATTTTCATTCATGTGGGGGATTGTTGAAAACGGGGGCATTAAAAACATAAACTTTGGATGAGATTTGGAATAGATTCCGCTAATAATTTTTTACGGATCTCTAGACAAGCGCGTTTCTCTCTGCAAGGAGATGAACGTGGTATATTTACTTTCTGAAATCCGTTTTCGGATGAATGAGAAATTAGCTCCAAAGTGTGGTGTTTTGATAAGCCTAAATGGGTATGCAAAATTTAGAAAATGTTTGTCCCACATGGAAAAAATGTTGAAACAAATTGAAATTTAAATAAGCTGAGTTTAGGATTTGGATTTGGGCTTGGGCTTGGGCCTGATTGTAAAGTCCAGATTATTCTTTTTTGAAATTTTGGATTGGGCCTAATTTTGGGCTGGACTTATTTAAATGGGTTTCACAAATGAGTGTGTTTTTTTTGGGTGGTTGGTTTTTTGAATTAAAAAAACTACTTTCTAGTTTTTCTAAAAGGTTACACCTTTTAAATTAAAAAATCATATTTTAGTTTTTCTAAAGGGTTACACCTTTTAAATTAAAAAACCACTTTTTAGTTTTTTCAAAGGGTTACACCTTTTTTCGAACCATCATGACCCATGGTTGCACCCACTCGAAAAGGCACATTGCAACCTATTGGAATGGATGTGTCTATTGGTGAACAGACACCATGTGAACCATTGCAACCTATTGGAATAGATGTGTCTAGTGGTGAACAGACACCATATGAACTATTATAACCTATTGCAATGGTTGTGTCTAATAATGAAGAGATACACCCAATCCGAAAAGGCATATCTGTTTCTATAAATACCCCCCTTTGGATCATTTACAATTAATTCATTTTCATTTTCTTCTATCTCCCTCTCTAGACTGGAACCCAACCCAAATGGGTTCAAACCATAGGTTAAGTGGTTCGAGCCACTTCGACCCTAATCCAATTTCATCGAGCCATATTAAGATTGGTCCGAACCATTTCAAACAACACAAACATAGAAAGAGACAACATAGAAGAGAAAAAATATGGGTTTGCAAGTAACAAGTGGTTGAGAGTAAAGAAAAAAGAAGTTTTTTTGGGTTAGGAAGAAGGGGAAGATGGAGGAATTTTGGATCTGCAAACGTAGAGAGATAAAGAGAGGAGCGTGAGAGAGAAGAATAGCCGACACAAACAACAAAAACAAAAAAATAATTAAAAAATAAAAGTTGGCCGCTGACACATCACGCGACTATTAGTATCAATCGCCTAGCATCCCTCAAATATAATTTAACAAACTAGTGTGTGTATTTTTTTTTTTTCCTATTTTATTTTTTTTTTCTTCTGGGAGGGGTTTACATAAGAAATGCCATTAAAAGCATTTTAAGAAATTAACGAGTAATCATTTATCAAAAAAATAATCACTTTTTAGTAAGAGTAATATTCCTAAGAGTTCGTGTCATGAGAAGAACCACGACCTCTCCTGTTTTTAATTTAGATTCATTAATAATTGATTTGACTTATTAGCCATGACTCTTCTCAAGAGAGGAATGGGACCTCTTAGAAGCATTACTCTTTTAGTAATCCTGCCAATCACAATCTGATAATTATTTTGTATGGTTTTCTAATTTTCAATTAAAAAAAAACATAAAATTATGAGTAACGATATTCAGGTCACTTATTAAACCTAACTTTTAAAGTGAAACAATTAAGGATATTGATAGTCTAAAGTGAGGCTAGACTTACTTCTCAAAACTAAACGATTAAGGCCTAAAGTGGAGTGTAACAATTAAGGTCATTGATGGCCTAAAGGGTCCACTTCAGGCCATCAATGACCTTAAGCTTAAATATCATTTTTCTAAAATTATTATGAGAAAATTGAATCAAATACTGAAAGTGGCTTTCATAAATTTAAAAAATATTATAGAGTAGTAGTACTCACACCGAATATTTACTGTATTTGAAAAAAAAAAAAAATTACTTGCAGTGGTATGAGATTACGTAATCTCCATCAATCAGAATATGACACAAGCGAATTATTTTAATTTTTTTTATTTAGATGTTGTATTATGTTGTGATTGGCTAGGACGTGAAATGAAAAAAATTATCCTTAGTTGCTCAATAATTTCTAACCAACCATATGATAAATTTTCATATGCGGTGTTTGCAAAACTAGATAATTGAGAGGAAAAATCTAGCTTTGCTCCAATGAAATGTTTGCGCTATCAACTCCCACGTTCACTCTTTACAACCAACCATCCAATTTATGTCTCCTTTCTTTTTCTTCAAGAACCTATCATATACTCCAAACTTTTTAATTAATAAAACAAATGGTAAATTATATACGCTTTCTGAAGTTAGGTTATATTTAAACTAGATGAAAATTTTAATTTTAACTTTAACTTACACTTCATGAATTAATCCTTTTTATCTTCAATTTTTTAATACAAAATATATATAATCTTAAATAATAAAAATACCCTTATCCCTACCCCACCCCACCGCCACTGTTTCTGGCTCCCGACCATAACCACTACCATTCCCAACTCCACATCCGCCACTACAAACCCGCCTACATCCAACACCACATATCCCAAACCACTGCCGAAAGGGACGTCGATGGCAAAGAATTGAAGGCGAAGTCGATTGTGAAAGACAATGCTGAAGACCAAGTTGATGCTGCCGATTACAAGCCCTTTTCGTCGTCCACAACCTGAGCCTACTCTCACCTTCTCTACAAAATTCAATCCTAACAGACGAAGACGACAACAAACACGACGACCACTGCCATGCTATCGTGCGCCTCAACCCCAACCCTACATCCTCAAACGCCACCACCATCATCACCGCACCATCTCCAAAACCAAACCCTGGGTTCCTCTCTCTCCTCTTCCGCGCCATCATCATGGCCCTAATCGTCTCCCTCTTCCTCCTCTTTCTCGACGTCGTTGCCTTCGCCCTAGTCCACATCTTCCTCGCCAGTGGCGCCCTCCATCGCTACCATAAGTGTAGCCGCCGCCGCACCACTCCTAATACAAATTCCGTGGATGACTAGCAGAAGTTCCTTAATAGATCCAAATACGTCCACAAATTGCCCGGAACAGTGAAGGACTGTGCCGTTTGTTTGGATTCCTTCAGAGAGGGCAGTGGCGCTGGAGCCTACCGTCAGGTAACCACATGTTTCACGAAAAATGTGTGGACAATTGGTTGACCAGAGTGCCCAATTGCCCAATTTGCCGAACCCATGTTCAGTTGAATTCTGGGGTGTCGGCTTTGGTGAGCAGCAACGACGATTGTAATTTGTTGTGGGCGGTTGGTGTAGGGCAAAGAGGAGGCTAATTTGGTATATTTCCAAGAACAAGGGGTGTGAAGAAATAAATGCTCCTAGGCTAAAAAGAATGGTAGAGAGAGAGAAAGAGGAACGTTCATGACAGAGGCTGTGATGGAATAGTTGGTCACAAAAATAATCAATACGAGATTAAATGGTAGTATAGTTATTTATCAGTCAAAAGTACAATAACTCTATCAAAATTTAACTTTGGAGATATAACTTATAACTAAAATATTAAATCACTAATTTAAATATAAATAAAATTAAAAATCAAAATGTTAATCTCGGTCAAATATGAGGGGAGTTTTGAGTGTTAATTTACCCTCTGACAAAAGACCATATGGTATCAAACGTGTTCACAATCACAATCACTCACCACACTAAACAGTCAAAACCTCTCATAGTTATATTAATTTAACACCATTTGATCCAGAAACAAGCTCAAGATTAACCTCTTTAATGGCCAAAACCCTATTACTTTTCTGGGTATTAATCCTTTTTCTCTCCAACCCAGTTCTCTCTCAGCATGATCAGTTCGTTTTCAATGGTTTCAAAAATGTTGGAAACAACATAACTCTAGATGGAGTTGCAGAGATACAGAGCAACGGTATTCTCAAGCTCACCAATGACACCCTCAGATTGATTGGTCACGCGTTTTACCCAAATCCAATCACGTTCAAGAACTCGATTGACGGAACACCTTACTCTTTCTCCACAGCTTTCGCTTTCGCCATAGTTCCAGAGTATGCCAAGCTCGGCGGCCATGGCTTAGCCTTCACGATCTCGCCGCAAAAAGGGTTTCCGGGTGCTCTCCCAAGCCAGTACTTGGGGCTTCTCAATACCAGCGACGATGGAAATTTCACAAATCACATTTTCGCAGTCGAATTCGACACAGTCCAAGACTTCGGAGTCGCAGACATCAGTGACAATCATGTTGGCATCAACCTCAACAGCATGACATCGAAAGCATCAGCCAATGCCAGCTACTTCGCGGAGGGCAATTCGACGAGGCAAAATCTGAATCTCAAGAGTGGGAAGACAATTCAAGCATGGATCGACTACGATGCAGCAACAAAGCTATTGAATGTCACGCTTTCACTCTCTTCAACAAAACCCAGTTCATCAATCTTGTCATTTCCAGTAGATCTCTCTGTGTATCTCGAGGACTCGATGTATGTGGGTTTCTCTTCTTCCACAGGTTTACTTGCGAGCTTTCATTATATCTTCGGATGGAGCTTCAAGATCAATGGACAAGCTCAATCTCTTGATCTGTCTTCACTTCCTACGCTTCCCGGTCCGAAAAAGGATCAGACGGTGTTGATCTTTAGTGTCTCTGTTTCAGCTGCGATTTTGATGATGTTTGTGATTGGAATGGTTTTGTATCTGATCAGAAAGATCAAAAACGCCGATGTGATTGAGGCTTGGGAGTTTGATATTGGTCCTCATCGATTTTCATATAAAGAGCTCAAGAAAGCAACAAGGGGTTTCAGAGATAAAGAGCTTCTAGGGTTTGGAGGGTTTGGGAAAGTTTACAGAGGAACACTGCGGAATTCAAACAGCCAAGTGGCAGTGAAGCGAATATCCCACGAATCGAAGCAAGGGTTGAGAGAATTCGTATCGGAAATTGCAAGTATTGGCCGGCTCCGTCACCGGAATTTGGTTCAGTTGCTTGGATGGTGTCGCCAGCGAGGGGATCTGTTACTGGTTTATGATTTCATGCCTAATGGAAGCTTGGACAAGTACATTTTCGACGACCCCAAATCGGTTTTGACTTGGGAACAGAGGTTCAAGATCATCAAAGGAGTGGCCTCTGGATTGCTCTATTTACACGAAGATTGGGAACAAACTGTGATTCATCGAGACATCAAAGCTGGTAATGTGTTGTTGGATTCGGAGTTAAATGGAAGATTGGGTGATTTTGGACTAGCTAAGTTATACGAACATGGTTCTAACCCGGGCACAACCAGAGTGGTGGGCACACTTGGTTATCTTGCACCGGAGCTCACACGGACGGGGAAGCCCGCGACGAGCTCCGATGTGTTCGCTTTTGGTGCGTTGTTGCTTGAGGTTGTATGTGGAAGACGGCCCGTTGAGCCCAAAGCATTGCCTGAAGAGCTAATTTTGTTGGATTGGGTGTGGGATAGGTGGAAGGAAGGGGCTATTTTTGATGTGGTGGATAAGAGGTTGAGAGGCGAGTATGATGAGGTAGAGGTTGTGGTGGTGATCAAATTGGGATTGATGTGCTCGAACAATGAGCCTTCCGGGCGGCCGAGTATGAGGCAGGTGGTGAGGTACTTGGAAGGGGAGGTGGGGTTGCCGGAGGTGGTGGTTCCACCGGATGCTTATGATGGGAAAAAGGGTGGGGGTGGTGGTGGTGGTGTTGAGTTCGAGGATTTTGTGCATTCATATACAGCTTCGAAGTATTTTGAGAAGGCGAGCGCGGGCTCGTCGAGTGGTGATGGATATAGGATGAATAGCATTATGTGACAATATTTGCAGATTTCTTTGGTGCTTTGAGGGCAAGAGTTTATGATGATGAGGTGAGGAAGTGGATTTCGGGTGTTGGGTTTGATGGCGTTGGGAAGAAGCTTGTGAACTCAAAGGAGGGACCCCCAACCTTCGAGCAGCTCCTCGAGTATGGAAACATGCTTGTCCAAGAGCAGGAGAATGTGAAGAGAGTCCAATTGGCTGACAAGTACTTGAGTGAGGCCGCGCTTGGAGAAGCTAGCGAGGAATCTATTAAGAGAGGAACTTTCTATGGTTAGCTCCCTTGATCCTAGAGGTCTTGATGGGAGGTTTGCATCTAGCTAGCTTCTTGCAAACTTGGGGTGAATTGGGCTTGAAGCCTTGAATAAAGAGTTATTCTGAATTTTGTTGTTTGATGTGTTTTTTGCAGGCAAAGCAGCCCAGCAAGTTAATGTTATAGTTCCTGAAGGTTGTACTGATCGAAATGCAGAGAACTATGATCCGACGGCTAGGAGTGATGATGGAAGCTGCTTGTATACATTCTAGGCCTTTTTTTTAGGTATGCAATAGAAATGTACTTTCTAAGGATGCAAGGCAAATTAATACAGTAAGACTCTTTGCCTCAGTTTGCATAGATGAGTTTCCTGTAATTTTTGTGTTATAACGTACACTGGGCTTATACTCAAAAAGGTGCCTATTCTTATTATTACCAACTCAAGTTAGTGTGTTGCTCCATCAAGCAGGGACTTTGCTTAAGGGTTACTCTCTTCACATGATTATCGTTTATCCCAGAACTTGCACGAAATTGGCAAAGGCGGAGCCAGGATTTGAAAGTGGGGAGCTAAAGAAAAATTTCAAGAAGAGAATTTATTGAGAAAAAAAATTTCAGGCAAAGAAGATGATAACAATAACAATAGTATCAATGAACATTTAAATAATAGTAAATCAGTAGAGGCAGCATATGAAAAATCCCTAATTGCAACTAATTTCAATTAATGACTGAAATTTGATGTAAAACACTTGTAAAAAACCACTAAACTTTGCAATAGTTTTTGAAACAAACTTCAAAGCTTTGCAATGGTTCTGGGGAACTTTTAGACAACAAGAGATAGCAGGTGCAATTCTCGGAGGGACGGCAGGCTAATAACTCCAGAATTGCGTGAGGATGCCCTCCCTTTGCTTGTTCAATTAGAGATCCTGAATTAGTATCACTCACTCTACTATTTGTTAATCGCTCTCAACTGGACACCTAGGAAGGTTTGGATTTGAATCACTGTAAAGCAAATTGACTGGCCTTGAAAGGGCTTGTATTCAATGCGGGCTTTTTTATTCATGCATTGGAGATCAAATGGAAGTTTTGCAGATTGAGAAAAAGAGAGTTCAAGGAAACAATGTGTTTCAGTTTGCAACAATGTGTTTGATTTGCTAGGTTTGACCTGTTATGTTTTACTATGGATTGGGCTGGGTTGGGCTGAATGGCTAATAGAAAAAGAAAGAGTAATACGTAGACTTAGTAATATTAATTTTTTTTTTTTAATTGGACTTGGACTATAGGTTAGCCCATGAATAGCTCCCCCCCTAAATTTTGGCGCTTTTGCAATTTTATGAATGACATATTTTCTCCCCCCAAAAAATAAAAAGAAGATCTACATATTTTCTGTTCAATAACATATCTCTCTCAAAATGGGGTAATAAAGTTAAGAGTAAAATCACATAAATCCCTTTTACTATCATATTCGGGCAAAAAAACTTACTAAAATTAAACAGCACCCTGAATTAAGATTACAAAATTGATCTAATTATTTCATGTTAAATTAAAAACTAAAATAATTATAATTTTAAAATTAAAAAAACACCGGGTCTTTTTCTTCCTCATCACCAATTCTTTCTCTAAAACTAGACGAATCACAATCACAAGCAACAATGGACTCCACCACCAACAAATGACGATATGCGCAACTGTAAGATCGTCTTTGACCCACCTCCTCTTCCTCCTCATAACTCTCTTCAACACCGCCACCTCCAATTCGGACTCAAACTGAGTCGAAGAGCTCCTCAACCTCTATTCCTGATCCGAATCGGGTATCATCCACCTCATCCGCTTCATCTCCCACAACAAAGACACCCCATCTGAATCTTTTCTTCTGCGACATTGAGTTCAAGGAGTCCCAAACCACATTCGCACAACCGCATCGACGAAACAGTAGAGGACGAAGACCCATAGTAAAGCCGTAATCAGTAGAGAACCGAAGCCGCCGGCATCAACGAAAGAGAGTGTAGTCAATCAGCAGATAACCCAAGCCCCCAACCGCCGCCGGCATCGATTAAGCATATGCAAGTATATATATATATATATATATATATATATATATATATATATATTGAGGAGAATTTAAGGAAAATCAGTGGGCAAATTTAGTTGGAGAGAGAAAAATCTTATTTTGATTGATATATAAATATATATATATATAGACGTGATCGAACTCCAGGGATTCGTGGTGAACGACTTGGAGGATTTTGACGCGACGATGATGGAACTTCGGCCAAACGAGGTGGATGCGGTAGTTGTGAACTTTATGTTCGAGCTCCACTGCCACTTGAGCAACAACGAACCAGTTTTTGTGAACTGGTTCAACGAGTCTATGCATTATTTACTCACTCCACAATGACTCGTTGGAAGGGACCGAGTTGACTCAAATTGTGTGAGGAAGAAGACCCACTTAATAGGGGTGTTTTTGTAATTTGAAATTATAATTGTTTTAGTTTTAATTTAACATGAAATGTCAATTTTCTCATTTCATAACTTAGTATACGGGTCGGTTATGGGTATAAAATAATTTGATGATTTTTTTTTTAAAATTCAGGGACTGTTTAATTTTAGTAGGAGTTTTTTGCACTTATATAATAGTAGGAGGGGTGTTTTATGTGATTTTACCTCCCTATCTAACAACTAATGACAACTGAAAAAGATGCAATTCGTTTAATACTTAGTAATTGAACGAGATTATTTATCAAAATTATAGTTCAGGTAAGTTATGTGCCACAAAACGATAGTAAAGAGAAGTTGAATGCAATCAAGCCTAATTTCTAACAAGGTAAAAGTTAAATTCTGATTGATCTTAGTCAATCTCAATTTATATTGGTCAAGTGTAAAAAAATAAAATAAAATAAAATAAATAAAATAAAATAAATCCCGATAGTACTAATTTGGTGCAAATACCTCATGTTCGCATAAAAAGACTATAATACCCTCTTGTCCGTAAATGAAATAATGTTAAAAAAAATTCGACAATATAAAATTACCATTTTAAACAATTCCTAAACTCACCCACAAAGCTAACATTTTTGTTACAAATATACCTTAAAAAAATAATCTAATGTCTTTAATTTAAGGGTTAATTGAGTGCAATATTCATATCTCTCTATTGTCAATGGCTGCACCAGACTCTAACTAGTGAGCGACCCAAGTCGATTCCATAACGGCGACCATTGGGTCGCCATAGTATTAGAAGTCAGGTTGCCGCCGGCGACCTGGTTACCGCCGTGGAGAGGACAACGTCTTGCAATTCAAAAAACGAATACGAGAATTAAAATTATATTTGATGATTCATTGATGAGTATTACATCCAATTTATAGAATATGATTAGTTAAAATAGGTAACTAATTACCTACCAATTAGCCCTAAATTAAGGAATAAATAATTCAATCATACAGCTATACTATAAGAGATAAAATCTCAACACTCCCCTTCAAGTTGGTGCATAGATGTCACACATGCCTAACTTGTCTAAATTTTTTGAAAACATTTGATTTGAGACTGCTTTGGTGAGAATGTCGGCTAGTTGATCTTCAGATCGAATCTTAGGCAACTCCACAATTTTCCCATCTAACTTTTCCTTAATAAAGAATCTGTCTATTTCAACATGCTTCGTACGATCATGTTGAACTGGATTATAGGCAGTATCACATGATGCTTTATTGTTACAATATAGTTGAATAGGTTGTCCAGGTGGATAACTCAAATCCCGCAATAGAAGTTTTAACCACAATGTTTCACAAAGTGCAAGCGCCATACCTCTGAATTCAGCTTCTGCACTCGAGCGAGCAACAACATTTTGTTTCTTGCTTCTCCATGTAACAAGATTACCTCCTACAAAGGTAAAGTAACCAGAAGTAGATCGCCTATCATCTATAGCTCCAGCCCAGTCACCATCAATATATGCAGCTATGTTTTGATAACTAGCATTTTCAATGAACAAAATTCCTTTTCTAGGAATAGATTTCAAATACTTCAAAATACGCATAACTGCATTCATATGTTGCTCTCCAGGATCATGCATAAACTGGCTAACAATGCTCAATGCATAAGCCAGATCCGGTCTCGTGTGTGCTAAGTACATCAATCTCCCTATAAGTTTTTGGTATCTTCCTTTATTAGCAGGTACTTGGTTGGACTCAATATATAACTTCAGTCCTTCTTCCACTGGTGTCTCAGCTGGGTGACATGTTGTCATGCCAGTCTTTTGTAATAGATCTAAGACATATTTTCTTTGAAATAGAAAGATTTTTTTATTAGATCGAGATACTTTGATACCAAGAAAATATCTAAAAAGATTTAGATCTTTCATTTCGAATTCTCTGGACAAGTATTTCTTGAGAGCCTTCATTTCTTCAGGATCATTCCCTATAACCACTATGTCATCTACATATACAATGAGTGCGGTGATCTTACCTTGTTGTTTCTCTAGAAATAACGTGTGGTCTGAATTGCTCTGACGGTAGCCAAAGGCTATCATAGACTTTGTGAATCTTCCAAATCATGCTCTTGGAGATTGTTTCAACCTATATAATGATTTCTTTAACCTACAGACCTCCCGACTATACTTTTCAGGTATCATGCATCTTGGTGGGAGATCTATGTAGACTTTTTCAGATAATTCACCATGCAGAAAGGCATTCTTCACATCGAATTGTTGTAATGGCCAATCCAAGTTCGCAGCTAAAGATAACAAGATATGAACTGTGTTTATTTTGACTACAGGTGCGAACGTCTCTGTGTAATCGATTCCATAGGCTTGGGTGTAACCTTTCGCCACCAATCTTGCTTTAAAGCGTTCAACTGTGCCATCTGCTTTATACTTCACAGTGTAAATCCATCGACATCCAACTGATTTCTTTCTTGGTAGAGGATCAATGAGTTCTCAAGTTTCATTTTTCTGTAAGGATTTTATTTCCTTGTTCATAGCGACT